TGAGAAGTGGACAGCCTCTTCCTTCTTCCTAGTCTGTCTCAGTCTGTAAGCTGGGCTGATACCTGTGCACCATGTGCATCCCGCTGGGTTTTGAAACACCAGTGGCTCAGCCTCAAAACTCACATCAACGCATCACCATGGTAGGACAAACCGACAGACAAGTTTGTCTCCCTTTTGGAAATCTCTCGTACCACTCTTACCTGGGTCCCTGTGCCTGACTTCTCCTCTGTCCAGATTCCTGGGCATTTTAATCCTCTTTCTCCCACTCTCCTGCCTGCTGCTTTGGGTGTGCCTGAGTTCCCTGTCTTCACCTGGATCCCTGCGGCTGACTGCTCCTCTGTCTGGGTTCCTGGCTTTTAATCCCCTTTCTCCTGCTTTCCTGCCCTGCTGCTTTGGGCATGCCTGAGTTCCTTCTCACCTGGATCCCTGGGGCTGACTGCTCCTCTGTCTCGGTCCTGGCTTTTTAATTCTCTTTTTCCCATTCTCCCTCCCTGCAGCTTTGTGCATGCCTGGGTTCCTTCTCCTCACCAGTATCCCTGCGGCTGATGGCTCCTCTGTCCGGGTTCCTTACTTTTTATCCCCTTTCTCCCGTTCTCCTGACTGCTGCTTTGGGCGTGCCTGGGTTCCCTCTCCTCACCTGGATCCCTAGGGCTTACTCTCCTCTGTCTGTGTTCCTGGCTTTTTAATCCCCTTTCTCCCACCTTGCAGCTTTGGGTGTGCCTCAGTTCCTTCTCCTCACCTGGATCCCTACGGCTGATTGCTCCTCTGTCCGGGTTCCTGACTTTTTATCCCCTTTCTCCCACTCTCCTGCCCTGCTGCTTTGGGCATGCCTGAGTTCTCTCTCCTCCCACCCCTAGTAACCAACAAAGAAAATTTCCAAGAAGATTTCCATACAAAAAATGGAGTTTGCTCAACTACTAACTAGAATGCAGAAGTCTGTGTACAATACACTATACCTCTATCAAGAAGATATTTACTAATGGTAAAAGAGTTGAAGCAGAAAGGGTGATGCAGACATTATCCATGGCTTTTTCAGACACACAGAGGCTTTGTTCTGTCCTTATAGATATACCCTTCTCCATTTTTGCTTGTCTGGAATAAACTATGAAACTTTCCCACCTGTTATCGAGGATGTCTCATTTGTAGTAAATATACCTTGTTTCTCCATATTTACACCTTATAAAGTAATTAAACCTTAATTTGCTTTTTTGTGCTAAGAATCTAAAGCATGCTGCATCTGATTACACATATCATATGGTTCTGTTCTGGTTTTATAAGTTTCAGCCTGGTGTAAAGTCATATCACCACAAAGGTGTATACTACTTAGATTTATATTTCTCTTACTTCCCACAGAAATACTTTCATAGAAATGTCCTGACTTTATGATTGATAGCAGAAATTGCCATTTCACGTGTCTTAGTTCATACACATCATAATTAGAGGCTTATTGTGTTTTTTTTTTTTTTTTTCCCCATATCCCTTCTATAAAGACCCGTTGAAAAAAATCTAGCTGAGAATAAAGGTTTGGGGAAAATTCTCCCCATCTTGTCCATTAGTTGCTCAGTTCTTGATCATTTTTCCAATTCTAAGGGACTTTAATGTGTCTCTTAAATGTGCACTGAAATCCTTTTTGTCATAATAAATTTTTTTATTATAGTAGTCTGTGTTAACTCTTAAGATGATAGGGCCTTGATGTATTCTAATTCCATGGCTTGTTGATAACCTTTTAATAGCAGTTTTATAAATAATACTATTAATATATTTTAAAAACTTATTTCAGAAAATGTTCTGTATTGCCCTTATACTGATTATAGCTCAAGGATAAGTTTTAACTGATCTTAAAGATTTCATAAGTATTCAAGAAGTACATATCTAAAAATTAAGACTTATTTTTTTTCTATAACAACTTTCCTGAGCTATATACACGTACCATACAACTTATTTAAAGTGGTTTTTAATGTATTCAAAGAATTATGCAACAGTTACCATAGTCAAGTTTAGAGTGTCTTGATCATCACCATAAGAAATCCCATATTGTTCAGTAATCACGCCCCATTTTCCCTGAATGTCTCCCCCACCCGCAGCCCTAAGCAATAACTAAGTACTTTCTGTTTGTATAGTTTGCCAATTCTGGGTAATTCATATATATGGAATCATATAATATGGTGCCTTTTGTGTCTGGTTTCTTAGTGTGATGTTGTCAAGGTCCACCCATATTTTACCATTTATCAGAACATTCTTTTTTATTGCTAAATATTGCATTGTATACTAACTGCTGTCGAGTCGAATCCGACTCATAGTGACTTCTCCTTGGGTTTCTGAGGCAGTATCACTATGGAAGTAGATTGCCCAACCTTCCTTCGGAGGAGTGGCTGGTTGGTTTGAACCACCAGGCTTCTGGTTATCAGTCAAATGCCTTAGGCACTATGCCACCAGAACTCCTATTTCATTGTATGGATATACTATATTTTATTTTTCTGCCACAAGGTGGGAGTAGAGAGTTTTAAAATTCTCATTCTCTAACCAATTGCTCTCTAGTTGATTCTGACTCATAGTAGCCCTATGGAACTGAGTAGTACTGCCCTGTAGTTTCCAAGGCTGTGATCTTTATGGGAGGCGCTCCGGTGGCATAAGGCCTAAGGCATGTGACTGCTAGCCAGAAGGCTATGGGTTCAAACCCACCAGCCACTCCTCAGAAGGAAGGTTGGGCAATCTGCTTCTGTAGTGATACTGCCTCGGAAGCCTAAGGAGGGGTCACTGTGAGCTGGATCTGACTCCATGGCAGTGCATTTGGTTTGGTTTGGATATTTATAGGAGCAGACCATGACATCTTTCACCTGTGAAGTGGCTGGTGGGTTTCAGTTAGAGTTGAGTGCTTAACCACTACACCACCAGTGCTTCTTAAGATCTGATTAGTTAATGAGAGTTTCCTAAAAGCTATAAAATTAATTTTCCATAAGTTACCAAAATAATTGTTGGTACTGTTTTTAGAACAACTTTTCCTTAAGACTTGGATTATTTCAGATTTCCGTATAACTATACTGAGGGGTCATCAGCCATTTAGAAAGTTTTAGTGAGTTTTTTTTTAAGCTTTAAATACTAATTATGAATTTACCTCCAAATCCTTTTCTCTGTATTGAATTCTTTTGATCACATTTTTACTTCTAAACTGAGAACAATCACTGGGGGTGGAGAGGGCATGCAAATGAGTGGAGCTTTGGGTGGGAGGTGGACAAGAGAATGAGTGAAGCCTGGGTAGGTTGGCACAGTGGCAGGTCCTTTACACAAGGGAGTAGCTAAGAGGAAAGTTTCAAATCTTAATGCCTGAACAAACCAAAACTCAGAGTCACCGCCATTGAGTTTATTCCAACTCATCGCGACCCCCATTGGGTTTCCGAGGCTGTAAATCTTTACGGAAGTAGATTGCCCCATCTTCATTCCGCAGAGCTGCTGGTGGGTTTGTACTGACACCTTTCTGGTTAGCAGTCAAATGCCTTAGGCACTAGACCACCAGAGCTCCTTAATGCCTGGACGAAGTGAGAAAATACAACTGTTCTCTTCACTGAAAAATTAAAATACACATACTCATGCATAGAGTGTGTAATCTGGAAGGGGAAAAAAACATTGATTTATTTTATGTCTGTAAAAGCTATTATATAGCACCTTGGCATCAGTTTGCCCATGTCAAATATTAACAGATGTATTACTAAGTCATAATAGGTCTATTTGTCAGAAAATATTTTTTACAAATTAAGTATTATGTCATATTGTATAATACAATTAAACAGTGAACAAACTAAAAGAGATTTTCTTAAGATTTTCACACTAACACATGTTCCATATGTAAGACTGAATAACTATCAGAACAGACTTGGCAAATTTCCACATTATGTTTATCGGTTGCATTTTCAAAGACCCAATAGTTCCCTTTATTTCTTTTTCATTGCAGAGTGGGAAATGCAAAGGTTGTCACATGAACTACTAGTAAAACGTTCTGTTGCTGTTTGGAGTATACCAAACTGAATGGCTGCATAGCTTAAAGATAAAAAAAAAAAAAAATTGTACCTGGCAGTAGATTTGGAAAGTGGATTTGATTTATAAACCAAATTTAGAAACTATAGACAATGGTGAAATTCCATTTCAGTTGACATGATAGCAGGTGATAATGTACATTTTTCACTGTTTGCTTTTATTATTTTAGTTTCTTCGAGATTGTATTGATTTGCCAGAATCCCTGAGAAAGGACTTTGCTTTGTTGAGGTTTTAGCCATTAGAAGGCAGATCTAAGACAAAGAAAATGTGTGATGGCAGTGTAACTCTTAATAAATGGTGAAGATGAGTTTGCCTGTGGTCCTCTGGTTTGGTGTATTATATTTGCCATCATATGTGCTCGGTTAGAAAGATGTTACTGATTTTCCCCATGAAAATACCATACACACATGCCCCCTGCAAAATTTGATTATCAACTAAAATATGTAAGCTTCTGGAGCTACATCTGACATATTAAGATCTATATTTATTCAACCTATTTTGTTACATAAACAATTACATTAAATATAGAATTTATACAGTTGCATGTATGTTTTGCCTCTCATATTATGAAATAATTTTATTGAAACTCATCATATGTAATTGGGATCCCTTTGGAATAGTGTATTCCCAAGACAGTTGTTCAAGTGACAGCTGTTAGGAATATAAGTGACTTTGGAAGTCCTCAGATATAAGGCAACTACTTGTTTTCTGAAAAATAAATTTTTTGGGAATACAGTCTTTACCTGATTAGTGGGCATGTATGATAATTGTATATTACAACTCTTACTTGTATTGATATTTAGAAGTAGCACAATTTTAAGAGGCCAGAGTCTTGAGAGAACTTACTCTTACCTGATATCTAAGTTTTTAGTTATTAATGTGGATTTTGTCTTTTATTTTCTTCTTCTTCTTCTTCTTCTTTTCCTTTTCTTTGAGGGGTTGGACATAATTGCCTTATTTCATTTCAGGGATCCTTCTAAAGTAAATATTCTGGTACCTGGTGCTGGACTAGGAAGATTGGCCTGGGAAATAGCTATGCTAGGTTATGCTTGTCAAGGAAATGAATGGAGTTTTTTTATGCTCTTTTCTTCCAACTTTGTACTCAACAGGTATTTAATTTACTTTTTGCTGGAAATAATTTTCAGAATCAGATTGACTTAACCTATTTTTTGACCAATTCTGAAGTTGAAGATAAGATCTTAGTGCTTGATTATGGTGTACATCATGGTTCTTATGTTAAAATCGAATTGCTGGTACAAATTACCACTTTTATATGAGTGAGAGTGCCTAGTTAACAGAATTCTGAAAGAGAATGGGTAAGTGACTTTTTAGAAAGCAATTGGGCATTCTCTAAAACTGAAATGATTTTGTGTACAAGTACCAGGACTAACTGTGGTCCAGGAAGGAGCACTTTCTCATTGTCTCTTAAACGTCTTCACCCCTTTAATTGTTTATACTGAAGAATTCCATATAGCAATTATAACTTTTTTCTTTAATCACATCCTTGTTAAATGTCCAAGTTTGCTCACATGATTGAGGTGGGAAGATCTCTCAGAATTTCTGTGACCTTTTTTATAAAGTAGCAGGAAAGGTATCAATTTTAAAGCCAGAAGAGGTGTGTTAGAAAAAGATAAATGGCTGTCTTTTAAAGAGTTAAATAAGCAATATATTTACCTGAATTGATTTTTTTTGGGGGGGTCTTTTAATCCATGATTGGTTGCTTATCTACACATATATTTACATTTTCAAATAATTGGGTAGGGTCAGTGATAACACTTTAAATGAAGTAAGCTTTCAGTCAAAAAAAATCATATTTTAGTGTTTAAAGTAGATTTTCTTGGTAAAATGTTTAGTTTACACTGAGTTTTATGTTCATATTTTACAGATGTTCTGAAATTAATCAGTATAAGCTTTATCCCTGGATCCATCAGTTTAGCAATAACCGGAGATCAGCCGATCAGATCCGACCAATCTTTTTCCCTGATGTTGACCCCCATAGCCTTCCTCCTGGTTCTAACTTTTCTATGACAGCAGGAGATTTTCAGGAGATATACTCAGAATGCAGTAAGTGCCAAGCAAGCATTTTAAATATATTTTCCTTTATTCTAAACTTAAAGAGCTAATTTTAAATTAAGCCAATGTGTTGGTCATTCATTTTGTTGTCAGCATATGAAGTATTTTGCAGTGACACTTTTGAATATCTTCAAGGCCCTATACAAGGCAATGGAAGGAAATATAAAGAAGTATAAGTTAACCTGAAATTAAGAAATTTAGAATTTGTTAGATCATTACTATAAGAAAGCATATAAACAAAGTTCAAATGAGTTAGGAAGGTTATAAAGTTGAAAGTTGGTTAGTGTGAGACCGGAACTCTTTGTAGATAGGCTGTCACTTGAAGGATAGAAAGGAATGGCATTCTAGGCAGGCAAAGCTACAAAGATAAGGTAACTGGGGAGACAAAAGCCTGGATGGAGGGGAAGGGAGCTTTGTTTGGGGGTTTAATGGGAGACATGGCTGGAAAAGGAGCCCCTGTGTGGCACAAATTGTTTGTGCTCAGCTGCTAATTGAAAGGTTGGTGGTTCAAATCCACTGAGTAGCACCATGAAAGAAAGGTCTAATGACCTGCTTCTGTAAGATTACAGCCATTGAAAGCTCTGTGGAGTGTAGTTCTACTCTGACCTACATGAGGTCATCATGAGTTGGAATTGACTTGACAGCAACAAGTTATGGCTGGAAATGTAAGTTAGTCCCAGGTTATGGAAAACCTTTACAATCAGGCTATGAAGTTTCAATTTCAAGCCAGTTAATTGTTGAAGAAATTTGAGGTAGGCCCTAGGGAAAGACAGATGGCATGGGGCAAGGGAACAGAGGAATTGGCAGTAAAAGAAAGAAGAAAAGTAGCATACTGAGGGGGTAGCTAGATCGTGCATTCAGCAAATACTTTCTGAGTATCTGCTACTCCAGGTGTATCCTAAGCATTAAAAAGAGAGTAGTAAATAAAACTAAGTGTCTACAGGGAAGTTATATTCTAGTAAGGAGAGACAGGCAGTAACAAATTTAATATCGTGAGAAAGAAAAAGCATGGTAAAGGGGATATATAGTGACTGGGAGGGACTCCTGCCATATAGAGATGTCAGGAAGGCTTTTCTAAAAGCAGATATTTAAAATATATACGTATATACACGAGCTCTGGTAGCATAGTGCCTAACGCACTTGACTGCCACCAGCCACTCCTTGGAAGGAAGATGGGGCAATCTACTTCCATAGTGATACTGCCTCGAAAACCCAAGGAAGGGTTGCTATGAGTCAGGTCTGACTTGATGGCACATAACAACAACATATGTGTGTGTGTATGATATATATATATCGTCAACCAGGGAACCTTACAACAGTGGCAAGGCAAACCATTCAAAATATTTTGGGCAAAACCTTCCAGAGGACATGGCAAGGGAAGAGGCTTTGTTGCAGGAAATGTGCTTGTTCTGCTCAAAGAAGGGCAAGAAGGTCAGTTTGGCTGGGGTAGTGAGCCATGGGCACAGTTGTGGGAGATTAGGTTGAAGAGGTTTTGATGAGTTGGACTTACAGGCACAGCAAGGACTTGAAGTTTTATTCTGAGAGAGATGGAAAGCCATTGGAAGGACTGGAACAGGGTAGTAATAAGATAATTTCTTTCCTTATTTTTCCCTGAACTCTGGGATTAGGAAAACCAGTACTATAAAGGCAGAAAGGGAGAGATGGAAAATGTTAGGCAGTAGGGATAGGTAGGAAACAAAGTCTCAAAATAGAAGCAAAATAATGGAAAATATCATTTAAGCAAATATAAATAACCTTCTGGAGCATGGTTTAAGAGGCATTGCCATGTCTAAGCACTGAAGGTAATCCTCAGTTAATGTCTTTATTGCAGCAGCTTGTTCAGACATCACACATTAAATTCCATTTCCTATAACTGTGCCAAGCCACAGCCCCAAGACGTAAATGCTGTGTTAGTTGTGGAGTGTCCACCTGCTGTTTCTGACTGCCTGTGCCCCTTTTTTACTTGTGATTATCTGAAGTGGTGTTTTCATTTCTCAGGGAGCAATAGGTGCATGCATTCTTTCTGAAACCTGCAAGAATTGGTGGTGGTGCTTTAAATTATGATTTGAAATTCAGATGACTTTTATATTAACTGACTTTAAATGAAGACTAGAAGTCAAATGTTAGAAACAAAATTCTTACATATATCATTTGGTAAAGAAGTCTAGTAATATGTGCTATCAAACTGATTTCCAGATTGATTACTTTATCAGATTATTATTAAAACCCTATTAAATTACAGAAGTGTCTACTAAATATGATTATTTTGTTACTTTGAGTATAGTATCAATAGGAAGATTTTAGTTTCTATGTACATGCAGTTGAATGAAATGTTAATACTCTACTAGAGGTAACTGGTAAAATTGTAAAGTTAATTAAAAGATAAAGCAAAATAACAGTTATTTAATTTTTCTTAAATAGATACCTGGGACTGTATTGCTACATGTTTCTTTATAGATACAGCTCACAATGTGATCGATTATATTGATACAATATGGAAAATACTCAAACCAGGTGGAATTTGGATAAATCTAGGTAAGTTCTTTAATATTCATAGATAATTTTTAGAATATTATACATTAATCTGACTACTTATAACTCTTCCACATTTGGTAACTTCACAGTATCAAATACTCACGAAAGTTAAATTGTATATCTTTTAAAAATTGGATACTAGTGGTAATGCACCCAAAAGCATTGGAGACCCAAAAAATTATAGTTAAGGAAAAAAAAACAAAAACGTGTTGTCCTTGAGGTGATTCTAACTCATGACAACCCCATGTGTTTCCTAGTGGCCCTGTACTCCCTAGGTTTCCATGGTTGTTGCTTTTTGGAAGCATATCACTAGGCCTTTCCTCCAATCCTGGTGCCATGTTCTTCTTCATATAGTCCAGCTTCTCAGATTATTTGCTCAGTGTACAGATTAAATAATGCAAAAAGGTCTTGGAGACAACATCTTCTGACCTCCTCTAACTTCACAAGAGGAAGATAGAATCACCATCAGATAAAATTGCCATAAGCATTGGGCTTATTCCTATGAGGGCAAACATGCTACCACCCTCCAGCCTTTTACCAATTCTGACACCAGTGTGCCTCCCACGGCAGTCATTATTTCTAAGCTGGATTTGATAATTCGTTGCAGTGGCCACACACACCTCACAAGCATTACTCATGATTATGGCATTTATTAGATGTGGTAGTTATGTTTGTGTGTCAGCTTGGCTGGGCCTGGTTGTGTGGCTGGGCAGCTGGTGGCAGTTATTCCCCATGATGAGACTGGCAATCAGCTCCATGGTGGGATCTACCACAAGCAGCTGAGTAGCTGCCTTTGGGATGTGGTCTGCTTCCTTTATATAAGGAGAAGCCTTGGGGATGGTCTCTAGCCTATGGCACGCTTGGACCCATGTTGCCGTGTTGTTGTTCAGCAGCCTGCTATGCTCTGCCGACCTTGGGACTTAAAATGGACTTGAATTAATGGCCTGCCATGTGATTTGGTAATATCAGGACTGTGCCTTTTTACTTGTCAACCTTGGGCTTGGCAGACTTAGCAGCCAGCAGCTGTCTGAATGAAGAAAAGCCTCTAGGTCCAGTGGGCTGGGAGCAGGAGGCAGAGCTGGACTCCAAGATTGAGGGTCTTTCACCCAGCTCCTCGAACCTGGCACTTTGAACTTGGACTTACAGCCTCTAAACTGTAAGAAAATAAACTCCTGTTTGTAAAGGCCATCCCACTTGTGGTATATTCCTGTCAGAGCAGCACTAGGTAACCAGAACAGAATATGGTACCAAGAGAGTGGGGTGCTGCTCTGACAAATGCCTAAAATGGGGAAACAGGAGTGGAGTGAGTCCTTGACCTGAGACCCTGGCCGAGAGGCATGATAGATGGCAGGAGCAGAGCCCAGAGACCGGCATGAGAGATGGCAGGAGCAGAGCCGAGAGAACCAGCATGAAACAGCAACAGCCTTACCAGCCCCCGGAGGAGAAAGCTTGATGCCTTTGGTTAGGCGGCTTCCTGGTGGAGTGGGTTGCCTTCAGGTATTAATGGTAGAAGAGACTGGCTTAAAATGGAGTAGCAGGTTGGCTGGCCCACGGAGCAAGAAAGCTAAATGTCCTTTGGGGCAAGAAGATTTCTGGTGGCGTGGGTTGACCTCAAGCATTAATCGGTAGAAGCGGAGACCAAGGAAATGGAAGCAGAGCTACATCAGCTTTTGAAAGGTTAGGACCATGGCCTTTGGGGGTGGAACAATCACAGCCCCCTAGGTTTCAAAGAGCTAGGTCTTCACCAACTTAATTATAGAGTGTGGGGCTGCTTGTTCATGTGAGCCAGTGGGATGGAGCCATAGCCGCTGCCCAAGAGTGAGGGTGTGGAGCTGCCGTGTTCAAGAGGGAGAGGAACGGGCCCACCAAGCCAAGGGGGTGAGGTCGCCATTCAGGAACTAGGGGACTAGAGCCACCCAGTGGAGGAGAGCTGTACAGATGCCAAGTTGACATGGGGTGGAATTGTGGTAGTTATGTTTGTGTGTTAACTTGGCTGGGCTTGGTTGAGTGGCTGGGCAGCTGGTGGTAGTTACTCCTCTTGATGAGACTGGCAATCAACTCCATGGTGGGATCTACCACAAACAGCTGAGTAGCTGCCTTTGGGATGTGGTCTGCTTCCTGTATATAAGGAGAAGCCTTGGAGATGGTCTCTAGCTTATGGCACACTTGGACCCTGCATGTAGCCGTGTCATTGTTCAGCAGCCTGCCATGTTGTGCTGACCTGGGGACTTACAGTGGACTTAAATTAATGGCCTGCCATGTGGTTTGGTAACATCGGGACTGTGCCTTTTTACTTGTCAACCTTGGGTTTGGCAGGCTTAGCAGCCAGCAGCTGTCTGAGTGAAGAAATGCCTCTAGCTCCAGTGGGCTGAGAGCAGGAGGCAGAGCTGGACCCCAAGGTTGAGGGGCTTTCACCCAGCCCCTAAAGCTTGGCATTTTGAACTTGGACTTAAAGCCTCCAAATTGGAAGAATAAACTCCTTTTTGTTAAGGCCATCCCATTTGTGGTATATTCTTGTCGGAGTGGCACTAGGGAACCAGAACATTAGGGAAGTAACAGGCTACAATGGAGGTTCAGGAGTGCGCTCAGGATACAGTTCTTTGATCAAGACAGTCTCCCCTCTGCTATGCCCTCAGGCATGCCTCTCTGGTCCTTGGTCTCTCAGCCTGGTGTCTGCCCTGCTTGGGCAAATGGTTCAAAGCTCTTTTACACACCTCCAGCAAGCCGCCTGCCCAAGGGCACTCAGCTTTCTTGCACTGTGGGCCAGAGAAGCCCACTTTTCTGTCTCAGGCCTCTTGGTTCCACTACCACCGTCTCTCTGCCAGGATGCCCAGAGCAGGGATCTTGGGTCCAAGGATGCACTCTACTTCACCTCCAGCTCTTCTCTCTTGATGGCAGTGAGATTCCCTCTCTGTCTCTAGGAGGGCACATTTTAAGCCTGGCAGAGATAAAACTAACCAGTCCCAATATCAGAATTCTACACAGCTATTTACATAGTCCCACCCAGTAATCTGGTGGGAGTTAACAAAGACTGTGGCTAGAAAGGCCATAACAAGTACTTCAGTGCACTGCAAATAAGTTTTTTTTTTTTTAAAAAAAGAAAAAACAAACTCACTGCCATCGAGTCAGTTCTGACTCATAGTGACCCCCTCCTTGGCTTTCCACGGTGGTATCTCCACAGAAGTAGATTGCCCAGTCTTCCTTCTGAGGAGTGGCTGGTGGGTTTGAACTGCCAGCCTTTTGGTTAGCAGTAAAATGCCTTAGGCACTGTGCCACCAGTATACTAATTATTAATCTGTAGAAAATTATTCCCACGTTTTTCCTACCTTCCACTCCATTGAGATAGTAGTCACTGCTGTTTAAGAAGTGCGTACTCTCTTTTTTCTTTCTGTAATAAAACATTTAGGAGAAAGATGTTACCTCTCCCGTGGATCCCTCCTCCCTAGTACATTCATATACTGGAGGAAAAAGTAGGTGTAATTTTTGTTGTTACCTAGAGTTTATGAAAGAACAGAAATGGAATTTATTTATGTAAAAACATCTTACTGAATCCCACTGCTAGGTGCTAGATCAATATGACATAGTCACACCTCTCCAGAGGCTAAGGGTAATTGCCAGTGTTCCCCTCTTTAAAATAAAGGGAGAATAATGATATCATCATTATACTTGTCTTTTTTTAGTGAGACACATAATCCATTTATGGAAGACATCAGGGCTATAATATGAAAGTCTTCAAGATAAAGAGATTTATGTTACAGTACATAAAGGGACAGGTTTCATTGTTTTGAGTCCATGCCTTAGAACTGGTATAGTTTTGTTGCTGGGTTCTGTCACTTCTCTCTTTGTAATGGTTTGAGTTAAAAGTCACCTTGGGAAACTTGTTTCCAAGTATTGAATGAAAGATATTACTACTACCTTGTATCTTTTCACTGTGGGTTTGGCACTATGATAGCGCCTTAAAAATAATTCATTTAATTTCCAAACAATGCTGTATTAAAATGTCATCATTGCTCTTTTATAGTTGAAGAAGCTGAAGTTGGGGTTAAGTAATGTGCAGAAAGTTCCTGTAGTTTATATGTGGCAGAGATAGGCTCCCAAAATGGATCTAACTCTCAGAATGCCTGCAGGATGGCTCTGCAGGTTCACCCTGTATCAGTTTATAACAGCACACTACTGTAACTCTGCATATGTGTGATTAAAATTTTTGACTCCACTTTTACTGAGTTAGGATAATTTTTTGTCTATTTCCCAAAGCATTAAACTTAACTTTCAAAGAAACAATTTTCTTTTTGAATTTTTATTTCATTAAGTATTGATATTTTATTAAGTTACATAATAATAACTGCTTAGAAGAAATAAACTTGGTCCTTGGTAAGCATACTGTGTGATAACAGTAGATATCCTGGAGCTGGCCTGCGATCTGTTATGGTCATCACAGGTTAACAGGAGGCCAATTAGGAGTGCTACCACTCTTCTTACCACAGAGTTTCAAAATAAATTTGAGAACTGGAATAATAGAGTGACAATAAAAAATAAAATTAGTTATTTGTAAAGTTAATGCTCCTTTGCGTGTATAAGTTCAAGAATTTAAAAAATAAATATATTCAGTGCCCCTTAGATATTGATGTGTTCCAGGTATCTGCTTATCGTTGTAGTGTTTACTTTTTATGTTGTGTGCTTGTTCTTTACCTCATGTTACTCATTCTCAGTCCCATGGCTTCTCCTCTTCATTCAGTTCTCAATATATATTTCTGGTCCAAGTATCTGTCTTGTGTACTAAGTCAGAAAATCCAGCTTGGATGTAGCACCCACCCACTGCCGTCAGCTTGATCCTGACTCACAGCAACCCTATAGGACAGAGTAGAAGCCCCATAGGGTTTTCAAGGCTGTACATCTTTATGGAAACAGGTTGACTCGTCTTTTTCCCATGAAGTGGCTGGTGTGTTCAAATTGCCAGCGTTTTGGTTAGCAGGTGAATGGTTTAACCACTGTACCACCACAGCTCATCATTCATTGTTTCTTACCCCTCCACTACTCTGGAAGTCATACACTTAGTTTCTAGTCTCTTAGTGGTTATCCTAGAAATTATAAATTTACATCAAGTCTAAAGTAATCAGTACCTTTATCCTCTGCTGAAGTAATACAAGGATCTTCTTCTATCTCCCTCCAGAAGTATTATATTTACATTTTAAATTAATGTTTTATTTAATATTTATTTAGATTTGCCTACATAATTATTTACTTTTTTGTTTTTTGCTTTCAATCCTTGTATTTCTGAACTCACACCTGACACCATTTTCTTTTTTCTAGAAGTACTTCCTTTAGAATTTCTTTTAGTGAAAATTTTCTGGTGACTAATTAGAGTAGTTTTTATTTGAAATTATACATTTCCCTCATTATTTATATAACACACTGCTGTCGAGTCGGATTCGATTCATAGTGACCCCTCCTTGGGTTTCCGAGGGGATATCACTATGGAAGAAGATTGTTGAACTTTCCTTCTGAGGAGTGGCTGGTGGGTTTGAACCGCCAGCCTTCTGGTTAGCAGTCAAATGCCTTAGGCACTACGCCACCAGAGCTCCTATTGTTTATATATATGTATATATTTAAAACTTCATTGTGAAATAATGCAAACCTTCGGAAAAGTTGGAAGACTAGTATAAAGAGTTCCCATATACCATTTACATATTGTTAGCATTTTGCCACATTTGCTTAATCACATTCTTTTCTGATATATGTACACATACTGCATGACTTATTTGTGTATATACTTAAAACATGACATTCACTTACATTGTTATAGAACAAAAACCAAAATCAGGAAATCTGACATTAGTAGAAAACTATTTTCTAATCTACAGACCATTTTCAAATTTCACCAATAGTCCCAATAAAATAAGGCTACAAATCTACACTATGGCTAAATCATCATTTACAACCTGTCTGGATTTTTTTATTTTCCTCAATCCCATTTTGATAAGCATGAGATCAGTATTTCTTTCAGTCCTCAGAGGATGGACTTTATTTACTCTTACCTCAAAAATGGCCCCTAAGACTCCTACTGTAATGTTGGATAATCTGCCAGACTCCCCACCTTGAATGGGCCTTGGGCGTTACTGTCTTTTGTCCCCTGACACAAAGAATTTGTCAGATTGAATGTAGCTTTCATCTAGATTAGACACCTTCAGGGTAACAATGCTGTTGTTGTTGTTATGTGCCGTCGAGTCGACCCGACTCATAGCGACCCCGCCTTGGGTTTCCGAGGCAGTATCACTACGGAAGTAGATTGCCCCATCTTCCTTCCGAGGAGTGGCTGGTGAGGGTGACAATAGCATCTAGGTTTACTTCTGGTTCTCACTGCCATTGAGTTGGTCCCCAATTCATAGCAACCCCTCCTTGGGTTTCTCAGGCAGTATATCTATCTACATTAGTAGATTACTCCTCAGATTCCTTCTGAGGAGTAGCTGGTAGGTTTGAACTGCTAGCCTTCTGGTTAGCAGTCATATGCCTTAGGTACTATGCCAGCACAGATCCCAATTCTATGAGTTTCTAGTAGTTTCTTACTAGCTTGCCAGGCATTCTGTACTAAAAAAAAAAAAAAATCATAAGCTAATATTAGTTGTTTTCAACAGGAGGGTTGGTCTGAATGACCTAACCTGCTTTTATAGTAACAAAAGTTCCTTTATATATTTTTGTATATTGATTTCTCTTAAAATGAGCTTTATTTTTTAATTTTGCAGGGGTAGGGGGAATGATATATTACTAAAACCAAAAACCAAATTCACTGCCATCAAGTCGATTCTGACCTCATAGAGACCTTTGGGTTTCCAAGGTTGTGAATCTTTACAGAAGTAGATCGCCCTATCTTCCTTCTGCAGAACAGCTGGTAGGTTTGAACTGCTGACCTTCTAGTTAGCAGCCAAATGCCTTATCTACTATGCCACTAGAGCTTTTAGATAGATAGATAGAGATAGAGAGGCACACACACACACACATATATATAAAAGAGAGGCCAAAATCCCTAAGACGAAACTTAAGGCAGAAGTGAACAAGTCAGACAATATAAATTTATAAGTAAATGACTGATGTACATGAAAAAAGTTATCCCCTCACCTAGTGAAATAAATATTAGTGAAAGATCAATTTTTACTGATCATAGTAAGTGCATGTTTTACATTTTCACTTAAAACTTTGATAAGGTACAGTGAGCTAGGTAGGGTGTGTTCATAATTGCTAGTGGGAATATAAAGTGATAAGATACTGTTAATGTCTTGGCCCTGGGCACATAAGTTAGTGTCATTAGAGCAGAGATAGGAACTATGCACTTAAAAAGACATTTCTGATGTTACCGCCTCCTTCCCAGAAGCCTTCTCTATACTTCAGGACCCATTTCTGTTTTCACATGTGATCCAGTTTATATCTGCAGTTTTGCATTTAATTAATGGAGTTATTACAAGTGTATATAGTATGCCTTTGGAATTTGAGGACTTAGCATTTCTGATTCAGCTAGTTCTTCAGAAACTCAGGAATTACAGGTGTGAGTGCATGACATGGAGAATCACCTACAAGGTTAGTGTCAGAGGGACTCACTTCTCCTGACATTCCAGTATAGGTCCTGCAGTGGAATGTCAATTACTAGGCCAAAGTTTCAAAGATCTGGATAAGTATCCCGGCAAATATAAAGGACATTTACATCTCTTTTTTTGTCTGTCTCATCCACTAGAGTCTGAGCTCCTTTAGTGTAGACCAAAACAAAACCAAACTCACTGCTGTTGAGTCAGATCTGACTCACAGCAACCCCTCTTGGGTTTCTGAGGCAGTATCACTACGGAGGGAACTCTGGTAGTGTAGTGCCTAAGGCACTTGACTGGTAACCAGAAGGCTGACAGTTCAAACCCACCAGCCACTCTTGGGAAGGAAGATGGGGCAGTGTACTTGCGTAGTGATACTGCCTCAGAAACACAAGGAGGGGTTGCTATGAGTCGGGTCCGACTCAACAGCACATAACACCAATAACATCATTTCGGAAGTAGATTGCCTAATCTTCCTTCCAAGGAGTGACTGGTGGGTTTGAACGGCCAGCCTTCTGTTTAGCAGTCAAGTGCCTTAGGCACCATGCCACCAGAACTCCTCCTTTAGTGTAGGGGGAAAAATAAAGAAGTTTCCATTGAGTTGAGTCTAAGGTGGCCCGTGTATGTCAGAGTAGAATTGTGCCATAGGATTTTCAGTAGTTAATTTTTCATTAGTGGATTGCCAAGCTTTTCTTCCAAGGCACCTCTAGTTGGACTCAAAATTGCAATGTTTCTGTTAGCATCTGAATGTGTTAACCATTTGCACTACTCCGAACTCCCTCCAGTATAGAGACTAATTTATTCAACTTGGAATTCAGGTTGACATAGGTACTAGTGCATGTTTACATTTAAGTAATTCATTCATAGTATCTTTAAACCACAGGTCCTCTGCTGTACCATTTTGAAAATTTGGCAAATGAACTTTCTATAGAATTGAGCTATGAGGATATAAAAAATGTTGTTCTGCAGTATGGATTCCAGGTAGAGGTAAGGATAAAATGAAATACTGGCAAGGTTTAATTTTCAAAGTACTTAAAACAGGAATGGTATGGTTACAGCTCTTACTGGCTTTATGTCTGAATGTCTCTATTTTCTCATATGGAAGGTGAGGTTCATAGTACTTAGCTTTCAGAATTATAAGGATTTGGGATAACATGTATGTGAAGGGCAAACTATATTCTTTGGTATAATAGTATATTAGTAAATGATAGCTGATCATTTTTAGAATATATGCCTCTATAGACTTCACTGATGGATGGATACCATGTAGATTAGACTCTGTGAAAGCAGACAGGGAGTTGGGTGTAGAGGGAGACTTTTCTACTATATATCCTTTTGTACTATTTGCTCTTTTATCATGTGCATTATTATAGGGTTTTATGATAATTTGGCTGTTGTGTTCCTTTTGTACATTTATTTAGAAGCATTCCATTTTTTTAAAACAACAAATTTGTTCTTTAAAATAAAGAGAAGCAATATATTGTAATTGTTTAGATTCCAGGTGTGCCACTCTGTGTTAGCAGTGTGCCTTTGGGCAACTTATATAAGTACTTCATATTCTTCTTTGTAAAATGAGATTACTGGTACTATCAATCTTATGGAGATAGTAAATGAATACACAGAAAATACTTAGAATAGTGACTGCCACTTTTAAATATACAGTATTTGTAGTGGTATCATCATCATCTTCTTCTTCATTATTATTTGTATTGCAGGTGGAGAAAGAATCTGTCTTGTCAACATATACTGTGAATGATCTGTCCATGATGAAATACTATTATGAATGTGTCTTGTTTGTGGTTCGTAAACCACAATGATTGTCTCAAGTGATGTCACCAGGAAAAAAGTTTAATAAGAGCAAATGCTGAAATAAACAACTCAAAATCAGCTGTCAGTTATGACAAGACAAGACCTCAAATCAGTGGTGCCTTCTTATTCCTAAAACAATTTAGAAATAGCATCTATTTTCTTAATATGTGTCTATTGCCTTTTCAGAAATATACTATGCCATGCATATTTGTACTATACAAGTGAAATGGAAGAAATGTCTTTAAGTACACTGTTTCCTTGAAGCTCAGAATTGTATTACTAGAAAAAAACTATCTCAAGTATCTTCACGAAGCTGTCCTGTTGCAATCTGCCATATTAATGACTAATAGTATTAAAGCCCAAATAATATCCTTTTCTGTTGTTTTCTACACATTGGATGTGTTATGTTTTAGAAGTGTCTGAGGATCCTCTCTCATATTCAACATATAAAATTGGGACCTTTGTTCACTTTGGACCTAAGCAATCTATACATGAAATATGTGTCTATTCTTTTATAATTTTTTTTTTCAAGCTCAGCTGAACTTAGAGAAGCATCAAACATTTCATTCTTATGAGATGCTAAATTTAATAGCACGACAAGCCAATAACCTGAGGAATTAACAAGTATTTTGGCAACACAAAATTAAACATTTTTTAAAAAATATTATCATCATTGAATCACTTTGAGATCTCAACATCCTAAGTGAGGCACAAACCTTTGTTAAAAGTAGTGCTAGTAAACTGGGAAAATAAGAATAAAATTTGCTGACTCTAAATATATGACTCAAACTGTACATGAATAATTTGTCAATGTGATGTTTACAATAATGTCTTTTCTTTAGATCATCTGGATTACAAAAGGAAGCATTTTTTTTCATTGAAACAATATACTAGTAAAAACTGTCATAATGGTATTAATGTGGGGAAATTCTGAATATGAAATTCAGGGATAAATTACTGCCCATAGTCTGTGTCTATAATATTATGTAAGCAGCAGCCATTAGTGTAATTTCAGATTAACATCAGTTTTATTCCCTGATAGCTGGAGCTTGAACAGTATATGCTGCTTTAAATTTCTACCTCTAGAAGATCTTTATTGGAGAGAATTTTCCTTTGTATTTTTGTATGTTTATTACTCTGTTTCCAATAGCTTGGAAAGTAGAGATGACTAATTTTAATGTTTTAATTTTTTCTTGAAGAAAAGGAAGTACTCTTGTTGAATATTTTTGCAGATGGTTGTGATTGAATTAAATGACCTCTATGGAGATTTGGATTAATCCAGATGGACTTAATCACAATAATGTGCTGGTGGGATAAATGACATTTTTAAAATAGAACACTTGTAAATCCTTTGTTGTCAATTAGGTTCAAGGAGTCACTTCATGATTTGGTAGCTTATTAGTAGGACCGTTTCTGCATATGTAAGGGAGTTCTTGTGATCTTTACTTCCATTATGCAGTAAACAATTCTGTAGAGTTAATTTGACTTAAACAAATTATAGAAGCCTGTAATTTGTTTGCTTTGTTTTGTTTTATAAGTTTCTCTATTTTGTGTTCCTTCAGTATTTTGCAGGTGTTCATTTGGTAAGCATTCTCATTATCTATGTGAATGAGCTTCAAATTAACTGCAAGGGAAGAGCAATATTTTGGGTTTTAGAAGAGAAAAGGGACCCCTAACTAAATATGAGAAATCCATTGGAAAGAAAGAATGCATACTGTTTTAGAGTAATTTTTAAATGATTTATTCATTAACTTAGTATTTACTTTACACTTGTATTAAAACAAATGATTGTTGTCTTTGTAATAGAGACAAAAATAGGTCAACATCAGTGGTGAGGCTTTATTCCTTAAAATTCTTTTTGCTATCAGGATTTATTCTTTAATAGTGTTACTTATATTTCTAAATTATAGCTGTGTTTAGTTAATTGTGAAATCAATTATTTCATCTGCTTTTCATTTCTCCTTTATATCATGAATTCTAATATGTTCTATACAAATTTACATCACTTTCTTGTACTCTTTGCAGTTCCTGTAATCTCTAAACTTGAATGTGGTATCAGTTGATAATAGAAGTGTTATTGGAGGGTTTATTTAATTTTTCATTTCTTATGTTTAGTCCTAGCTATTAAAGTGTGTAAGCCTTAAATCTTTAAAAGAAAACAAAAATTCTCAAAATTTGTTCTATCACAAATGTTTTCATTTATTTTCTTAAAGTGGAGGAGATAAATCATTGTGCTTGCTTTCTAGTTTTTTTTTAACCATAAGATGAAGCAGTGTAGGGTAAGATATATTAAGCAAGTGAGCATGGTGGAATATAAAATATGAAGAGGAACTATATAAATCACGGTATAAAATTTATGAAGTTTGGAAACTATAAAATGCACTGTATTTATATGCTATTCTCATTCTAGGAGTTGCCACAAAAGCTGAATTGGAAGCTTCATCTCTGCATGAAATTTCCTATATTTTTAATGTGTATGATGGACTTACTTTTTCTTGAATATTAAAGTCTGCCAATTGCTATGAAATCATACTTGGTTATTTCTAAGTTAGTGATAACCGTAGACATGGGACTTTTTAACTGATTGCCCAAATACATACTTTTGAACTATTTTTGTATGCTTCTAGGAGCAGATAATATGATTATCTGGCATTTGAGTATGCCAGACCTTACACTATTTTCACTTTCCTTCATTCAAGTTCACTGTAATAAAGTTGGAATCTACCAAGAAAAAAAGCTTAATCTTGATCTTTAGTTTTGTTTAATAGCAAATTGTTTACAGAGAAATAAACAGTTCTACAAATATCCCACTTTGAATAATGAATGGATCATCTGGACAGAAGATCAATAAGGAAAGAGCTGATCATCATCACTGAGGAACACTATAGCTGAAGGAGTCCTGGTGGTCTAACAGTTCAGCACTTGGCAGCTAACCAAAAGGTTGACATGTCAAACTCACCTAGAGGCTCTATGAAAGAAAGACTTGGTGAACTGCTTCCATAAAGATTACAGCTGTGAAAATGCTATGAAGCGCTTCTGCTCTGTCATATGGGGTCACTGTGAGCCAGAATCAACTCGGTGGCACCCAACAACAGCATAAACTAACTAGACTTGAAAGATGTATAGCAGACTCTATCCCACTGTGACAGAAATACATTCTTCTCAAGTACACATGTAACATTCTCTAGGATATATCATATAACAAAACAATTCTCAATAAATTTAAAAAGATGGAAATCATAGTATCTTCTGCAATGGAATGAAACTAAAAATAACAAAGAAAATGGGAAAATCTGCAAATATGTGGAAATTAAATAACACACTCTTAAACAACCAGGGGGTCAAAGAAGGAATCACTAGGCAAACTAGAAAATACCAAATGGCAAATAAAAATGAAAGCAGAACAATGCAAAACTCAGGGATGCAGCAAAAGCAGTGCTCAAAGGAAAATTTTTCATTGTAAAATGCCTATGTTACTTAACTTCATACCTTGAAGAACCAGAAAATGATGAGCAAACTAAACCCAAAGCCAGCAGAAGGAAGGAATAATAAAGATTAGAACAGAGATATGTGACATAGAGAATAGAATGGAAAAGCAGTAGAGAGACTCAACAAAATATTCTTTGAAAAGATCAGCATTATTGACAAGTCTGGCTAGATTGACTAGGAAAATAAAGAAGATAAAACTAAGAAATGAAAGCAGAGACAATACTATTGATCTTACCAAAATTAAAAAGGATTATAGTAGAACACTATAACCAGTTAATTGTAATCTAACAAATTCTTGACTGCTAACCAGAAGGCTGGTGGTTCAAACCCACCAGCCAGTCCTCAGAAGGAAGATGAGGCAATCTACTTCTGAAGTGATACTGCCTCGGAAACCCAAGGAGGGGTTGCTATGAGTTAGGTCTGACTCGACGGCACATAACAACAACACAACAAATTAGATAATGTCGATGAATGGACAAATTCCCAGAAAAACAAAAATTACCAAATTGACCCAAGAGGAAATAGGAATCTGAAAAACCTGTAACAAGTAAGGAGATTGAATCAATAATTAAAAAACCTCCCAATAATGAGAAGTTCAGGACCAAATGGATTCTCTGGTGCCAAACACTTCCTAACATACTCTATGAGACCAGCATAACCCTGATGTTGTTATCGTGCCGTCAAATCAAACTCGACTCATAGCGACCCCTCCTCGGGTTTCCGAGGTGGTATCACTATGGAAGTAGATTGCCCAACCTTCCTTCTGAGGAGTGGCTGGTGGGTTTGAACTGTCAGCCTTCTGGTTAGTAGTCAAGTGCCTTAGGCACTACACTACCAGAGTTCCTACATAACCCTGATAGCAAAGCCAAATCAAAAGAAAATTACAGACTATATGATTTATTAATACATGTGCAAATATCCTCAACAGAATACTAGCATACTGAATCCAGCAGAGCATTAAAAGGATTATACACCATGACCAAGGGGAATTCACCCTAGGAATGTAAGAGTAGTTCAGCATTAAATCATTCAATGTAATAAATCATAGAATGAAGAAAAATACAATACATGATCATCTCAGTAGATGCAGAATAAACACCTGACACATTCAGAACACTTACATGATAAAGACACTCAGCAAGCAAGGAATAAACCAAAAACCAAACTCACTGCCACCAAGTTGATTCCGACTCATAACGACCCTCATTGGGTTTCTGAGGTGGTAAATCTTTACCGAAGTAGATTGCCCAGTCTTCCTTCCATGGAGTGACTGGTGGGATTGAACCACCAATCTTCTGGTTAGCAGTAAAATGCCTTAGGCACTATACCACCAGAGCTCCTAAACTAGGAATAGAAGGGAACTTACGAAAAGGCATTTATAAACCCATAGCTAACAGTCAATAGTGAAAAATGTAAACTCTTTCAAAGACAAGCTACCAACTAGGAAAGTATGTTCAGAAACCATATATCCAATAAGAATCTAATAACCAAAATTGTGTGTGTGTGTATGTGTGTGTTTGTGCATATATATATATATATATATATATATATATATAAAGAAAGACAACCAATCATAAAATGGGCAAATAGACATTTCACCAAAGAGGACATTCAAATGGCCACCAAACGTGAAAAGATATTCCATATTATTAGCCATCAGGAAAATGCAAATCAAAAGCACCATGAGATACCATTTCACTCCCATTAGGATGCCTAAATTAAGTAAAATAACAAATGTTGGAAGATGGAAC